GTTGGAGTCGAGGAGTAAACCGCTGACCAAAATGTACACTAATGCCTGCTAATGTGCAGTGGGCATTACTTTATCGTATTATCTTATTTTATCTCTATAATGCTCCCGCAAAGCCTAATGCCAAAGGAGTGCTTAGTAATACCCAGCAATGCCGTAAATCTGTACACTACAATGCCTTCAACGATTTACTCTGCTACCCTCGGTTGGAGTACTTTCTATTTCAATCTTTTGCATTGTGCTGGATAGTAATACGCGAATACGTACATAGATAAATAAGAATACAAGCCTAATTTCTTGCTGACGTTTACCATGCCAGTTTACTTAATAATTAATTCGTAAGAAAATTAACATAAGTTCTACTTTTTATACAGAAGCAAGATTTTCCTCTCCCGGTACGATGAAATTGTTATATTCGATTATTATATTCTCGCAAGACACCGATCCAGTAGCATAGGATTATCTAGAGCAATGAAAACCTTAAATTTCGTCAGAACGTGGGATCGAGAAAGTAAAACAGGTATTTAATTTATTCTACAGGTAATTAATTTCTTCAATAAACTTATGCATATCTCTAGAAGAAAATAATTTTGTTGAAATGTTCGGTTTATTAGAAATTTTTCATCTGTTTTTATCTGCACGTATGTACATGCACACATACACAATTGACATTTTCGATTTGAGAAAATGGAATATTTCTTTAGGCAAAAATACATTTTTGACTCCGAAATTTGACATACTTTAAACGTTCGATTCTACTTAAAGAAATTACATTTTGAAGGAAAAATTTCTTTGCGAAGGTAAATGTTTTTAGAATTGATAGTACGTCAGATAGGTAATCAGCGTATCTTGGTTAGATAAAGAAAGCTTGTCCTTAGCTAACTATCGCACTTGCATAGCCTTGACTGAGCAAAATAAAAGCTTGCGCGTTCCAGTTTGGTATTGAATTCAGTGCGGTCTTCTCTATGTCGTCATGGTAGCGCTTGCGCGGGTCATTTAGTCGCTGATGGCGTCACTTTCTTAATAACGTTATTTAATATTAATATTATTTGTATCACGATTTATTTGTTTAACATTATAAACTTTCACAAACCACATTGATAGGCATCATCTGTTGGTTCCACTATGAATTTATTGCTCTTGGAGTGAAATCTATATAATAAAAAATCAATTGTCAGATTGTGTAATAGTGTAATAGTTGTGAAAAGAGATTTGTGATGGAATTTGGATGTTGAAAACCTGCTATCTCATATTAGAGGCCTATCTCATAATCGGGGACCTTCCTCTGTGTATATACTTGTACACATATACAAATGAATTTGTTTCGAAAGTATTTAACTTTGGATGTGAAGTCGTATAACGTATATGAGCGTAAATTTGCGTCTACTCCAACTTTATTGCATGGCTTTTAATGCTTCCTTTAATTTCAATTTAATCTACTTCGCAATCGGCGAATTGTGCAAATTAATTAGAGATAGGAAAGTATTGCCTTTGAATAATTGATTTCACTTATTGGATGATAATTGTATGGCTTTGAGCGAAAGGGAATGGAGCTATGAGAAGAATGTTAGGCTCGTTTTTATTTAAAAAAAAATTTGAGATTTCTTTCGAAAGGTATCAACGTTCCGTTTTTCTTATCAAATCTTATGAAAACTTGCATCGTAGATTTAGGTTTGACGTAAGAAGCTTAACATTTATACCATCCCGTGATATACGCTTTGCAAGAAATAATATTTTTCCGAGAAAATATGATATTACGCAATAACATAAAAATAGCATGACAATAACGATTTATGTTTTATATTACAGTTTTATATTACAGTTTTATATTACAGTTTTATTACTCACATACATGTTCGAGCGGGCACACACGTACTCATGAGCGCACTATTTCTCAAAGTTTTCCCTCCGTTTACTTTTGGTCTTGTTTGCGATAAAGATAAGTGCTACGTGCATGTATGAGAAATTTGATGGCAAAAGGCAATATACGATGAACAAATATTGTATGAATAGATTACACTTAAAGATTCTAATTTATAAATCACGTATAGTTTTATATTTCATCTCACAGAATATACTTTTCCTAATACAAAATATACAGGGTGTTATGTAATACCCGCCTCACCTCTTATTAACGGATAGAGCGGACTAGACGTGTGAGTCGAAAAGTCCTCTGCCATTTTGCAATTTTCACAATAGCTAACGAGTTATTAATTATTAAAAATCGCTATTTTAGCCCAACCTACCGCTCAATTCAAGCGCGCGGCGAGGTGCTGCCGTCTCGCAATCGGCGTTGCTGGGTGCGCGGGGAATTGTTTATGACACACTGCAAGGACTACGTGTAATAAACAACTCCCCGCGCGTCTAGTAACACCGATCGCGGGACGGCCGCATCTCGCCGCGCGCTTGAATAGGGCGGTAGACCGGGCTAAGACAGCGATTAGTAATAATTAATAACTCGTTAACTATTGCAAAATGGTAGAGGACTTGTCGACTCAGTCTAATCCGCTCTATCCGTAAATAAGAGGTGAGGCGGGCATTACATAACACCCTGTATACATAAATCTTTATTTTGTTGTGCTGCTTTAATTTTATATTATGTAATATTATATTTTCTTGGAAAAATATTTTTAACAATACAAGATTCCATAAATTTATTCAAGAAAACTTATTATATCAAGTCTAGTAAAGTTTACGACGCAACTTTTCGTTGTAAGATTTGATGCAAGAAACCAATATTTTAAAGAAAGAAATCCCTAAAACCTCTTTAAAAACATTTAACAGCTTCTCTTCTCACAGTCTGATTCCACTTTGTCGCAAAAATAGCGAGTCTGTGATTTTTTAGAATGCCACGTATATCAACACCGAAAGTTACAGCAGCTTACAGTTTAGAAATTTGTCAATATTACCAGACTAAACATGATTTATTTTATGATGAGTAATCGCGAGCGAGAAACAAAATATATTTGTAATAGCATTCATGAACACATATTGTTCTATCTATTTTCAATTATTTGCAATTTATTTTTAAACAGAAGCTAATATTTTCGACTTATAAAAAGAAGTAAAATTAAACTCGATAATCAATATCGAATAAAAGACGTGTTTTTTTTTAACTTTGTTGTCTATTGTAATGTCAATCTATTAATATCATATTTGAAGAGTAGTAACTAGAATAAAAATCGCATACACTTATGTCAACAATGTATAGCTGTCGACGTGATAACATTAATCGTTTTGCATATTGACATTGTTACGTGTTCAATATTTGTAGGTAAATATCGAACGGATGACAGATACAATGCTATATAAACGTACGTTATAATAGAATATCGAAATGTGCGAACGAGAGAATATTCGGTTTGTTTTAGAGTGCACGTTGAATTTTTTTATCACACTTGTACTTCCTTCTGGGCAGAAGAAAAAATATCAATCACGAATTTCACGATTTGGGTGAGGCTGAAACGATAGCTCGAGTCGCGTCAACTTGCTAGAACATGACACGGAATGAGTCGAAACTGGAGATAAATATATTCTGTATCTTACAATATAGTGAAAATGCTAAAAGTGAGCAGCTTTGTCTCTTTCTACCTGTCCCCCTTGGAAAGAGAAAAAGCTACTCGTAGCAATTTTACTGTAGTGCAAGAATTGACCCCTTGGTGAATTAGTGCAATAAATTAGAGTAAGACTGGTATATTTGTTTTCACTATAGCTCACTGTACTAGTTGACCAGTGCAGCAATAGAAATCAAATCTTTACACGGGGAGAGAATTTTCTCTTAAAATTTACCCTGAAAATCATGTAATCGTGGGACAACATGGCATTTTAAGACCATTCTACTAGTAAAAATGTATGGTAAAATGTCAAAAAACTCTCATAAAGGTCTTCAAAATTCCACGTGTTTTGAAATTTTACCATACATTTAACTAGTAATATCATAAAGTTTTTCGATGTGCAGGGGTTGTCCCACGATTATACAATTTTCGGGATAAATTTTAAGAGAAAATTCTCTCCGTGTGGATCACAGCAGAATTCGCGACGGGGCAAACGCGTACTTCGGGATTACGAAGGATTTAATTCGCGCGATCAGGACAGATTGGAATTAGTCCGGAGGACAGGCTGGAGATAAGCGCACTCTGGAGGAGTCCTGACACGCAGTCCCTTCCGTGGGTGAGAATCGAATGGTGACTCCTGGGGGGGTGCGCGCGCGTGGTCGCGCGATATCGGGGGTGGCTGCGCGTTGACACGGCGCCGGCGGCGCAGCATTACGACCGCGTTACCCCCGCGACCACGGGAGAGCGAGCGGAGCGGAGCGGAGCGGAGCGGAGCGGAGAGAGAGAGAGAGAGTGCGTCCTGACGCGCGCGCCAACCACTTAGGCGAGGAAGCGCGCAGCCAAGAGACCCGAGCGAGTCGAGCTCGGTCCTCGTCGTCGCTCCGACGTGGGCGCAGTCCGTCGCTCCTCGCCGCCACGATCACTTCTGCGAGCGGAAGCGGACGTTGATTCGTGCGCGAGTCGAATAATAAACGTGTCGGAGCTGGAGTAGCCCCGGCTTTTCGGCGAGCAGCGTCGCCGAGGGTGCCAGTTCATCACGTGCGAACACGAGTCGGTCCCACAGGGGGGGCAGTCTACTCTTCCCCATCGGTCCAAGTCCCGAAGTGCGATCCTCTTCCGCGCTGGCCTGGTCGCGATCGACTCTGGGACTTGCTAGGTCGTCGACCCTGTGGTCTTCCTGCCTCTCGTCCTGCGCGAGTGTCGCGTAACGTTTCACCGAGCAAAGTGCCGTTCTGTGTCGTCCTTTGTGATCCATTGTCGTCTTTAATCCCCCTGGGAATTTCTCAGGGAGTCTTCCATTTGCGGTGTCCGATCATTTCGTCGGCGTCGACGAGTCTGTCCACGCGACCAGCTGCTACCGTCTTTCTCCCTCGCCTTCTCACTATCTCTGTCCCTCTCTCTCTCTCTCTCTCTCTTCTCCCCCCCCCTCTCTCTCTCTGTCTCTCTTTCGCGTCGCGCCAGTCGCAGCATGGGGGACCAGGAGCAACAGGAAACGATGCCAAGCGTGGTAGAGTTGAACGTGGGCGGCGTCTTCTACACCACTGCCTTGACTACGCTGACCCGCGAGAGCGATTCGCACTTGGCCGCACTCTTCACTGGCAAATCCGCCGTGGAAAAGGACGCCAAGGGCAAGTATTTTCTGGACCGCGACGGCGTGCTCTTCCGCTACGTACTGGACTTCCTGCGTAATCAGGCGCTCGTCCTACCCGAGGGCTTCCGCGAGCGCGAGAGGCTGAAACAGGAGGCAAACTTCTACGGCCTGCCCGGCCTGGAGAAGGCGATTCTGGAGAACGCCGATTCCGGCGGGCAGACCGGCGGGGCGATCGGCAAGCGCACGCCAGGGTACATCACCATCGGCTACCGGGGCAGCTTCGCCTTCGGCCGCGAGGGCCTGGCCGACGTCAAGTTCCGCAAGCTCTCGAGGATCCTCGTGTGCGGCCGCGTGGCGATCTGCCGGGACGTCTTCGGCGAGACGCTCAACGAGAGCCGCGATCCCGACCACGGCATGTCCGACCGCTACACGTCGCGCTTCTTCCTCAAGCACAGCGTCATCGAGCAGGCCTTCGACATGCTGCAGGAGCAGGGCTTCAGGCTGGCGGGTAGCTGCGGCTCCGGCACCGCCGGGAGCAACTCCGAGCAGCTCAAGCCTGGAGTGGACTCCGAGGAGAACCGCTGGAATCATTATAACGAGTTCGTCTTCGTGCGCGATTAAAGGGTCTCTCGCGCGCGAGCAAGTTGTACTCTGCCTGAGCACCCGCTGGCGGCTCGCGTCTCGCCAAAGTCGCGGGTCGCCGCGTCTGCAATCGCCGCGCGAGGAAAGACTCGCTCGGTTGCCTCCATCGATTCAGGTCGAGGAATTCGCGAGGACACGTGTGCCTAACGTGCGAGCGAACGGGAATCTCGTTTCTAGCTTGTTCCATGGCGCATAATGAGGCCGCTGTGCGATATCAAGATCGAACGGGACTTCGGACGAGAGCCAAAAGTTTCGCCAAGTTCTTACAATTAATTTCGTCCCGTGAGAAAATTTCCCAGTCACGGCCTGTCATCAATCAACGCTGACGTAACAGGAATTTGGGACACTTTGGACACCGAGAGAGTACCCCAACATCGTCAGCCTCCCGAAACGTCGTATTCCGACATTTTTCCCCCTTTTTAATCGACTCTTTTACCGGGAGATGAGAAAGCTGGCTAAGACACGACGAAGATAGATATCCGAGAACTGTCGTCTTTCGATAGTACCCTCGTCTAAAACATTGACAGCGCTGAAATAACGAGGAATTGGATTGTCGTATTAAGGAGAACCCATGAGCTCGTCGAGCGTGATCGCGCGCGTTCGGGGCTGCGTTTCGTTTTTCAAATCCGGACGTAACGCGGCGAGTCGCGAGCGGCAAGTCGACGTCGGACTTGAAATTAATCAATGTCAAAGCGTGATAATCCAGGGGACGTGACAGGTCGTGTTGAAGCCAAGGACGTCCCGTTAAATTCGTGACTGTATGTTTTCTATGTGTAAGACTAGATACTCAACTGTAAATGAGTTTGACCCGCAACTGTACAAATAGAATCTAAAACTCTTCCGACCGCGGCGCGCCGAGATCCTCCGTAATCGGTGCGCGCCGACGGCAGTAAGAAAATTGCCATTTCCGACGAAAGTCCGACGTGCTCCTATCTGGGGCCCGTTGCGACGGAGAAACGTTTATTAAAAAGCAGTCTCGCGTAAATCCACGAGATGAAAGACGCCAATATCGGGCGTTTTTCATTGCCAGTGGACGCGAAATAAGACGGTGAATGGAACGTGCGCAAGAAAAGCGGATCCGGGTGAAGGGATGATGTTGAAATATCTACGGGCGAACGCGACTTGGCCACTTAAAGAGGTAACAATGTCAGATACGTCAGTGATAAATGTCCCCGGATCCAACGGACGAGAGAATGTAAGGAGAAGCGCGTAAATGCAAAACGGACTTGACGTGGATACCGAGTATCGGCTGCTATTTAAAATCAGATTGAACGAATGACGCAATAACGCTTGCGTGAGTTTCATTCGCGCCTGACGCGCGAGGAAATTAAAGGTGATGAAAAACTTCAATTATCGTCTGATAACGAGGCCATTATTTAAAGAAAGTCTCCGGTGCTAGTACGCCGAGTAGTTAGTCTTGATAAACGGTCGGGCCGAGTAGTCGCTGCTAGATGACGGTCAGACCGAGTAGTCACCGCTGATCGCTAGTCGGACCAAGTAGTTAGCGGTACGCTAGAGTCGGACCTTTTCTTTAAGTAGAAAATACACCGCGGTGAGAGGAGACGCGGCGAGGAGCGACGTGGACATCGATATCTGGCGAGTCACCCCCTTCAACCCCGTATAAATTCGGCTTAAATAGATGATCCTCGATGGGCGGAGCGACTTGTCGAATGCGTGTACTTACAACCCGACACGATGTCAAACGCGCTATTCGAAAGACGGGGAATGCCCGGGGATACGCGTCCTCTTCTATTGGCTTTTTCGTCACATTTTTTAAAACCCGTTTTTAAAAATGCTCCATGCGCCTTACTATTTTTTTTCCCCCCTGGAAAGCGGAACGTGTACATGTGGGAGGGTGGGGGGCAAGCGATTCATAACTTTCGATCTGTTGATTCGCGGAAATATCGGGACACGACGGAAAGCGAAATGTTGTTATAAATTTATGACAGCGAGTTCCACGTCGTAAATCAGTATACCCGTAAAAACATCTAGATAATCGAGATATCTTTCTCCCACTTGAATGCAATTGTGTTTTACGAAATACAATGGGGAAAGACATTTTTCGGGCGTAGAAAAAGAGTTTGCGAATTATGAAGGATCGACCGCTATTATTTCTCTTATTTTCGTTAATTTTTATTGTCAAAATTTTATTTCATAAATACTTGTTGCTACTTTTTAACCGATACTCTTTTGCTAGTTTTCAGTCGAGTATTTTTACTAAAAACAAAAAAAAAAATACTGCTCGGGACGAAAAATGGCGAATGCTTTTTAAACGTATTTTTTTTTGGCAACTTTCTCGCTATAGTATTTTGATTCGCGAATTTCGGGACGCACGGTATAGGTCTTTTAGCTTTTTGTTTTATTATACTATGGGATTAACATACAAAATGGCAGAATTTTACTTGAGACTGTTTAATTATTTCGCGCTGAGATATTGTTTATTCATATACCTGTTAATATTAATAACTGCTTGCATATGCGAGAAGATGAGAGAATCGAAAAACATTCGTCGCGATTATGATCTTGTTGCAACAGGTTATCATGTAACAGACAATGTTTAGCGATTGTTCCGAAGAGTGCCGACGGCGCTGAACAGACGGGACAGATATCGAGTTTCGCGTTAGCTTCTCGTTATCGTAGAGAGCGTACAGTGTGTCGAAGATTTTCTTAAAAATAATGGAGATAACAAATCCTGTATCGTAGCACTGTCTCATATATCGTTATCATTACGGTACTTATTATTATGGCGATGAATGTGTAGAATCACAAATAAATAGCGTTATCTCAGCTTTAAATGCACACATTTAACGTTTCGTAACTTGTTAGCAGAATCAAAATTGTGTATTCGCGACGGATTTATTGCCACGAAGATCGCACTGAAAAAAATTTCTGGTTGAATATGGACGAATCAGATAATTCCGTTAGGATTTACCAGAATTCCTTTAGGATTTACCAGAATTCCTGTAATCCTACAGAAATTCTGGTAAATCCTAAAGGAATTCTGGTCAATCCTAAAGGAATTATCTGATTCGTCCATATTCAACCAGAAATTTTTTTCAGTGCGGGGACGGGAGTCCGCCGCTGATTTTTGCTCTTTATAATTTCGATGTGCGCCGCGATAATCCGCAAAAATCATTTCCGGGGCGACGACGCGTATCATAATTGTTATTGTTAGCGCATGGTTCGCAAGTTCGATGAACGAACGCATCTGTGCCCGCAACGGATTGATTTATAATGACATTATACGTTCGGGTTGTCGTGCGAGTTGTGCGTATCAACGCGAGGTGTTATGTACAATTGAGAGTGGACATGATAGCTCAATGTGCGTTTGAGAAAATTTAATTCGTCTGCACGTATCGCGCGGCCTGCCAGCGGTACCTTCTAATTTTTCCACTTGTGTCGCCTCACGAAAACTGATGCTGATCGCGAGAATTCGTAAAACGATATCCAATACCGAGAGAGGAAGCGTTATTATTGCGCAACATAACTCAAGTGAAACGAGCGAACGACGTTTTCCAAGTTTGTGTCTTGCGAGATATCAGCTTTCAGATATGCTCTGTAATTGATGATGACGATTGCGCTGGGCAACGCGTCTAATCTTGTTGGGAGATTCTATATTGATTAATGTGGAGCAGCGGCATCGTAATCGTTACGCGATTACAATTAGTAAATTGCCTACTTCCATTTACTCTGTACAAATAAAGACATTCAGGTGAATCAAACTTGTAAGATAGTAGACGGATATTGCACGACGTTAATGCAAAGGAGTCTCGCATAGGACGACTATAAACTTCCACTTATTTTACAATTTACAAAGTACAAATTTTTATCTTTACCAACGGTACACATTGTTTCCGGTATTAATATTTTTAACAATAATTATTTATTGAATTTCTCCATTTTGTTTAAACAAGCTCTACGGTAATTTACTACTGAGTTATTTGCACATATGCGCGAATATGTAAAATTGGGCCCAAATAAATATTCATGCAAAGTACAGCGCGTTGAATTATTCATTATTGATATCTCATTTCGAGTTCGCGTGATCATTAAAATTGATGACTGATTTTAAGCTATCATGCGTGCTTACCTGTATAATGCCAGATAGAATTAAATTGTATTTTCTGATCCTTGTATTCATTTCTAAGATATTTCAAGAACGATAAAAACCACTTCCAAAATAGCAAAGAGACATTTAAACATTTTACACTTATTTATCTAAATATTAATACATTAAACTTTTAGAAATGTCGGAGAATATAATATATTTATACCTGTTTGTTTAATTATATTCTGGTTTCGATGAATTTTTAAAAAAATTGCATACATATTGTACATATATTTACGTGGGAGCAAATGTTGTATAAAATTTGTTGTAAGTTTCAGAAGATAAATTGTCTTTATATATTCGAGTATATTGTTTGTTTGTAGCGACGTATCGTGCGTGCGTGGAGGATGATAGAGAATTGAGATCGATGATAAGAATGCCGATTGCGATTCGTGATAGAGGCTCTATTTCATAGATTAAAAACAGTATTATAACTCGCTGGGAAAGAAAGCGAATAAATTTGACAGAACTCAATTCCAACTTTGGGTTCCGTCAAATTCTCAAGAATTCGAATTTCATCGAAATTCATCGATTATTAAAACCTTGGTTTAATGTTACAAACCTTTAGTAATTGAAAAATAACTTTCTTATCGAATATTCTCTTTACTCTTCCTTCCGTTAAAATCTTTGTTCTGTTTCAGGCTCGGTATTCGATGGAATTCGAATTTCGCGAAGTTTGATTAAATTTTCTCTTAGCTATTTTTAACCAAATAAGCTTCTTACGAACTCTGCCGTAAACTTCTTTCTTTGATATGAAGTTTCTCTAAGTATCGCCGAACTTTAGAGTTTGATGTAGGTATTCCAAAATTTTATTTGTAAGGTATATTAGAAATCATAGGAACCAGTAGAAGGAAATAATGTAGTTGACGGTGCGATCGGATCATTTTTCAAATTATAATCATAATTTCTCTCTATGATACACTAAAAGACATCTTTGCTATCTATAATTTGCTGAAGTATATTTTTATCCAATTAGAAGACATTTTGACCAATCGACTTTAGAAATATGTGAAATACTTTATATATTATTTAAAACTTATTGCGCATTTACTACTTGTATTCACTGATACAGTTGGATGAAGGAACGAGATTTTCTCAAGTGCATTACGTGCGATTTGACATTTTTTGAGAAATAGTCCGACCAGAAATTGCAACGCGCATCGTGGAAACGTTGACTCCCAAATTCGAGACTCAGAATTTATTGAAGAGAATTCAGCGAGTAGAAACAGAACGGTGTTAGGTAGCGTGTAAGACTGTGACGATATAAAATTACTGTACATGTATATACGTATGTCTAAGTAAAAAGAAGAGAAATAAAAGATTGAGATGATACGAGAATGAGTATGATTGTGATCCTTGATTCACGTTTCTCGTGATTTTCGGTACTTTTCGGTCTTCATATTAAGCTCCCCTCGCTGCTTTTACTTTTTAGATTCGGGTCAGGCAAACAGGAATAAAAAGCTACACATAATGTGCGATCATGTAAATGTTTCAAAAGGTAAATCACGGCTGAATTTATAAAGCACAGTCAACATGCGGTAAACAGTTATGTTTTTACGTTATTTCTCTCATGGAATCCGATGTTAAATTGTCAAGATGTCATAGTTAAAATTTACCACGATTTAATCTTTTTTACAATTCGCTTTTTATTTTTCTATAAGAAAATGTTGCTAGATTTTTTACTTAGGTCGCGGTGTGTAGAATATGCCTTATTTAAATCAAAATTTACTTAAAGTATTTTATTCTAAATGAGTTTTACAGTGAACACGAAAAATATATGAAATTTTTTACAGATAAAATATATATATATATTTGTAAAATAAAACTCTTTCATAATGATCTTCATACGCTTTCGTAGAATATGAAAATAAAATATAGAAAATTTTATAATTGAATTTTTTTGAAAAATGAATTTAAATGCGTGGTTATAAATTATTTTTAATATCGATACTTTATGCATTTGGCGAAATCCGATCGGATCAAAGCTAAAACTAGAAGTATATCTGGTTACTTTTGAAGAGAATCTCGCAATGAAGTGCGTGCGAGAGAACTACATGTTTTCTATCTTGAGTTACGACATATTTGAGTCTTATTGAAATCCGCTAGAAACTGTAGCGAACGTTTCCCTTTAAGTTTTCCATTATGGAGAGAAGTAATGATATTACTTCAAAGTAGTTTTTTAAGCATATAAATTAGCGGGGTAAATAATTTTCATATTATTGAAATATATAGGTATAGGTAATCTATAATATGAGATAAAATTAATTGCTTGGGATTAAAACCTAAAAAAATGAGGTAATGAAATTACTTTTCAGTAATGAAAGAGTTACGCATACACACACGTACACACACACACAATGTACGTTCAATCTGTAGTATTACCATATGACCTATATATTTTTCTAAAGGGATAAGAAATTAATTTTTACAAAACTAATTATAAAGCTCGCTTTTTGAAATAGATTATTCGAATAGATTTTCACATTTGAATGCCATCGGGAGACAAATAAATTCAATTTATGAAGCTTGTGTATTTGACATGTAAAAAAATGCAGGGCTAAAAATACAAGGCTGTTCGAAAATGATACTCTTATTACTCTTTGAAACTTCTGATAAAGTAATATATAAATTATTATTAATCCCCCCTGACGGGGAATATTGGAAAAAAAAATTCGTAATGGCCGCACACGACATCATATTAATCGCAGCAAGAAGGGATCGTTTCGGGGGGAAGGAAGAGCCGATTCTCCTTGCACGATAGTTCTCCTGTCGAGGAGGAGATTGCGCGTTAACGAACGAAGCGCCGGAAGGTGGTGGATGCAAACTCGATTGCTTGTTTGAATGAACTGTCACACTTACACGGAAGCGAACGCCCAGTTCGTTGGATGTAGCGAAGCTGCGTTGCACAGGGGAGCAATCTGTTGCTGAGTTTTCATCCGTCAGCGAGTGAGGGAAGAAAAAGGGGAGAGGAATGAGAAAGAATACGCGTCATCAACGAAACGTAAGTAAAATCGAGGTCGAGTTTCTTTTCGACAACGCCCCATCGTGTCGTGGAAAATGCGAACAATATGACATTGTTTATTTGCGCCGTTAACATTCTCTCTGAAGCTTCTGATGGTGTGACGCAAATATGTAAAATTCTATCAACAAAATTATTTTTCTTGTGAAAGATAATATTACCGCTTATGTATACAGTATGCTAAACAGTGCTTTAGAAATGTGCTTTACATTATATGCCCTTTATACACTTTTTATAATTTTAATGGGAACAAGGAAGACTTTATGCTATTTTTCTTATAGAGCGGTTTATGAGATATTTCAGAGATAGGCAAATGGATTTAACAAATATGAAATAATAATTAAAAAAGTATTCGTTAAAATAATAAGAAAAGAAACTCGCACTGAAATTAAAGGCAAATAGAAAATATACATTTCGATCATAATTTTTTTCTCATTTAATTTGAAACTGGACTAGTATTTACTTAATTAGTAATAATTGAAAATACACTTTCGTCTCGTTTTCATTATTTCTAATTCTAATCTTTTTCAAACATAGATTATAGCCGTCACAGAAGTTGATATATAAAACATTTCTCGAAATAATCTTATTAATGTGTATAATATTACTGACTAATACATACGATGGTATTTATTAATATTACAATAAATATCGCTAAATAAATCAGTACATGTTCTGCAAATACGATTTTTAGCTCCAAGTATTGAAAAGTTATTTTTTTCAATATATTTTGGTTAGCTATAGATAGGTTAAAACAACAAAGACTCTT